AAAAAAAAAGAAAGAAAGAAAAAGCGTTGAAGCATCTGCCACTAAATGTCCACATCCGTTTTCTCGCTCGTCAGCTGCCTTTTTTTTTCTCGCGTGGCTTTCCCGCAAGTCGACCACACCTCCGCCCATCGGGTACTCGGGGACTCTTCTTTTCCGTACGAAACCTTTAATTTGGCACGTGTTGCACTCTTGGCTATTGTTGCCATGATTGCCGGGTTTGGCCTGGCCTGTCTTCCTTCGCATCGTCGCCGATCTTTCGCGTGGCATAAGCAGAGTATGTATATGGTGATAATGCGCGGTTCTCGGATGTGCGTGGCACGCGTGTTGTTCCCCGACATCAGTTTTCGCCTATCTCTCGAACGTCGTTACCCGCTAAATATTATAATATGAAAAGGAACGCTCCGCCGGCGTCGTCGAGCGTCGTAAATACTGTTAATACAATCGGGAATTGATTTTCACCGGTCCTCGTTTAGTATTCATGGGCAAAGAGTAGTTCATCGCATTATTCGTCCTATGAATACCAAAGATATTGGCCTAAGAGAATTTTGTAGTGAACCCGTGAGAATCGTAGTTATATGCGCTTGCGCAATACGGAATTTATCATCTTACTAGATAGAGGCACTAACATAATATTTTACTATAATTATAAAATATCTTTTAAATATAATTGGTTAGAAAAGGAATATATGTGTATAAATTAAGAAATAAGGTCTTGTAAGATTAAATAATAGGACTCTATTTTTCTTTCTTATTTTTCCCTAAGTATTTCTTTAAATACTTAATCTTACAAGCTACTTATAAACTTCTAGTTTTAAAATTATAAATAAATTGATAATATTTAAATTCGTCGGTTTTAACATCGATGTAGAAAATTATAGTCAAGTAGGTATTAATTAATTAACAATGTTTGTTGATTAATATTAATTATTGATGTTTTGCGACATGTACACACTGAGTGCACCACATTATGTATATATATTAAGCGATGTTTTTCGCAATTATTAAATAGGCATGATTATTGTAAAAAAAAGAAGAATCCGTTATGAAATAAGTGTGAATCAAATCCTATGCCTGTGAATTTTGTCTCGGAAAACTGCCCGTTTACATTATTGTTGCTACATGCATGTACCAATCGGAAAAGTGGGGGTGGCGGGTCGCTTGGATCTCCCTCTTGTGCGATTCATCTGTGCCTTAATATGAAAATTTCATCGCCTTGCAGGAGCTGAAGGAGAGCTTCAATTACGGCCTCTTCTGCCCGCCGGTAAATGGAAAAGCCGGGAAATTCCTGGACGAGGAACGCCGCCTCGGCGATTATCCTTTCAATGGACCTGTCGGGTACTTGGAGGTAAGGAAACGTATTCTTCGTTCTTTCTCTCCCTTTGTTTCTATCGAGTCGTTCTTCCAGCAATCTAAAAATCGATCATGCTAATTCCGTTCGTTACCGTAATTGCGGGAGACAACAGTACAAAGATGTCTATTTCAGTCGGATGGTTATGGCAGGTAGGTTTTAGCGCATGGCAAAGGCTTCTCGTTTTAGTAACGGAAGGATTAAAGTAGCTTCCTCGCGTGTGCATTAAGGTTGTCAGCAGACCCACTTCACGCCTGATAGGATTTAATTACGTTTCTCAGCTGAATAGCAAGAAGATAAGAATATTCTTTGCCACATGTGTGATCAAAATGTGACAAAATCGAGCAAAGATTCGAGCGAAAGCCGTAATTGTCAAAAACGAAAATATCGAAATTTGACTAATCACTTTCACAAATAAGATTCATTCGAAGAAAATTGAAATAATACTTTTTATTGTTATCTCGTCATCTTATTCCTCGATAATGTTCTCGTAAATGACGCTTGCATCCTTCTACAATGTTACTCGGTTGGATCTTTCTTTTTTTTCTTTTTCTTTTTTTTTTTATTTTTTTAGCGAGATAATTTCGAAAAGATGACGCGCGTGCAGCAGAGTCCTCGCGTCTTTAATTTCGAGTTAGAGACCTCGGCGAAACGGCGATCGGTTCCGTGTAACATAATGAAAAAGAGAAGCGGAAGTACGTATTACGTAATTAATCATCGCGATGATCCTCGCGATTCTCGCTGTACATAAATCACTTGGTGGCCACGGTGCGACGAATCCCCGCGCGCGCGCGCCACGCTCTTTCAAAGCTCGACCGGCGATGACTGTTGAAACGGGGATTCGCGAAAAACAAATAATCCAGTCCCGGGTTAACGAGATCTGGATCCTGTCCCGCGGTTTTCTTGCGTAACCGGTGCTAGTTCTCATCACCATCCACCTCGTCGAGTTCCCTGCGTTGTCGTCGTCGTCGTCGTCGTCATCGAAGTCGTGGGCTTCTTCTTCTTCTTCTTCTTCTTCTTCTTTTTCTTCTTCTTCTCCTCCTTCGGCCGGTCCGATCCCGATCAGTTCCACCGTGCCAGCTGCACGTCCCCGCTTCGTCGCGGGAGATTCACTTTCAGGGACGGCTGACTCATACAGCTTCTTTGAACCGTCTTTAAGCCGCATTCACCTCGCACGAGTTACAAATTACATGGGGCCCGTCGGCGAAAAACTCGCGTTTAACGAACGCCTGTCAGCGGGATCCCCGCCGGACAATGGGGCCCCGTGGTTTTGAAAAGTCTGTGGATATGTCGCAAGGACCTGAGCCCTCGATAACTTTTCAGCGGGACTTCGCATTCTCTTCGCAAACATAGGCGTTGCGGATTCTTAAAGGGTATCACGTTCCCCCTGAGATTTGCTTGTTATGTTCAATTAACAATGACGTTGTTATCTATTAATTTAGCAAACAATTACTATCGTAATCTCTTCCTAGTACACGTTTACGTGATCGTCTTTTTAAACTAGCACTCATAATTGAAAATCCAAGTAAACAAGTTACACGAGAAAGAATAAAATAAAAATGAACTAAAAGGATTTGCATAATATCGAATAAATGAATGATGTTAAGTAAGAGGTTACTTATACATCAGGACGTATCTGGACACATTATTATTTAGGTTGAATACGAAATAAGCCTCGTCTCGCTGATATTTCGCCGTAATGCTAGCCTTGTGGCAATAAAGCCTTGTTTATTACAATAATCGATCCCGCTGTCAATCTCAGACTCGCTTTCGTCACGAAAGCCGAGGGAAGTCAATTTCAGGGCCGCTTCGATTCAAGCCGCAGTGTCTCTTTGATCACCTGACGATCCATTCATTTTGCACGAGTTACGTATCGTCGGACAATCGGGACAGGACGTGTGGGCGACGAGTCACTTTGGACGAATACGTGAATACGTGAATGAAAAGTGAAAATTGACGGTCGCGTGTCAGCCGCGACGGCTGTCAGCCGAGCGGCGGGGGAATAATTAATTATCAAACGAGAGAGTCACGCCGGAGAGGCAAGTTTCGTTGCGTATCTCAAAGTTCAGGTGCTCCATTCAGGATCACGCGCGTTCTTTCTCGATTTCATCTCCCGGATAAACTTGGCCGGGCGAGCGGCGTAAAAACTTACTTTGCAGCTTCTCGCCGCGGTCGCTTTCTTTATCCGTCCGGTGTGTATTCGCCGCTTCCTGTCGCGGCCCCCCGCGCGCGCGGTGTAAACGAACTCCTCTGGCGGAATTTCGTAGCGATGAAGATAGGGACGCGCGCGCAATTTTCATCCTTCACCGTCGAATCTCGCGCGAGAATCCCCCGTCCCCCTTCGCTCTCCGTCGGCATCCAGAAGCCCGGGATAAGCGACACCGTTAGGTCGCGAGCCGCGGCGCGTCCGTCCGCATTTCATAACGCGATAAAACCGGCTGATGCGTGCGCGATGCAATGACCGCGGATGACGACGCGATGCATTTACGCGACGTTACTGTTGTACGCATATACGTTGGCACAGTGCTCTTTATCTCGCTATTATTGGTCGCGTACAATGCGGCCACGCGGTCGCCGTCGAAAAGAAATCGCGCGACGGACAACGGGACGTGATTCCTCGCGACACCGTTTCCAATAGCGCTGTCTCCCTCATGCGAAATCGCATTACTCTAAATCCGCGGGTATATAAAATAATAAATCATCACGTGTTCCAACGGCCTTATAAATCGAGTAAACATGAGTATTGTGTTATTTAACACAGGATGTCTGACTTCTTGAAAAAAACTTCTGGAAAATCTGGATTTTTCTAGGAATCTTTTTATTCTTGAAATATCGTGGAATTTTATTGTAATTTTTGTACAATTTTAACTTTAAATTTAAATTTTGCCCTTCAGAGAAGAGATTTTTGATAATCTTGTTTTTATAGCACAGTTACTAATCATTTAATGATCAATACGACATATACATTGATCCGTTACATTGACATGTAACTTACAAGTTTTTATATAGAAAATTCAAAATCTTCTTAGAGTGATTAAGTCAAATCGTTAATATCCTTCGTGATTAAAAGGTTGAAAAATGCACACAATAAAATAAGCTTACATCAAAGTTCTGATTTAAAAATTTTTAAATTTTGTATAAAAATACCTGAAAAATCTGGGATTTTCAGAGAAATTTTTTAAAACATTTGAATAGACCGGCTTCTGTTTAAATAATTACCAATCAATACAAGCCGAAAATATGTTTAATAGGAAAATAGAATATCGAGATTCTCGATAATGCAGAATCTTTGACGTTTAATAATCTCTTTATCTTTAAATTTATATATAAATTCCAGATAATCGCTTCTTTAATTAAATAGTGAAAATTTGAAGATTTTAAAGAATTAAATCTCAAAAGTGCAAAAAATAAGAGAATTGTTTTTGCATTTCCTTATTAATTTTTGAGGAATTTTTCGAGGAAATTTTATCAGAATGATACAAAATATAACGTAGGAAGGGCGGAAAACGGGTGACCTCGGATTGAAATTTCAATGGAGAAAAATAAGACAAGGTAAATCGGGTTCGATCTTCGGAGGGCGTAGCCGTGTTTTACGCATCTTATGTCACGTCCGGTTTGTTGCGTATGCATCGATAACAGAGAAATACGCGTGACGAACGCGTTTGTAGTAGATTGTAAGAAGCGGCAATTATAACCGTCCAGGTGAGACCGATCCGGCGATCCGGAGATATATTTACGCGATAGTCATGCGCGGTCGTTCCCTCGCGATGTATTTACATAAGTAACTGCGGAGCTACCGCGAATCTACATCGCGGGCAAATTGCACGCGACGAACGGAGCGAAATATCCGGATATCTTACTATCGACATCTACGGTCTTGTTTTGATCCGCCGCGAGTTACCGCGTGTAATATAGAAATAATTAACTCGCGCGGTGTTGCGCCGAGAGCGATAAATTTCACGCTTTTACGTCTCGACGAGGCGGAAAGTGACACGCCGCGCCGAGAAAGTGACAGCCGTTCGGTAAATCGCGCGAATTAAACCGCGCGTTTTTAGAAAGCACGTAGCAGGCATATCACACCTCTCCCGAAAATGAATTTCAGCTCAAGTACAAGAGGCGGGTGTACAAGATGCTGCATCTGGACGAGAAACAGCTCAAGGCTATGCACACCAGGACGAATTTGCGGAGGCTATTGGACTATGTGCAGAGCAGCCAGGTCGAGAAGATCGCGAAGATGTGCAGCAAGGGGCTGGATCCTAATTTCCATTGTCAGGAAACGGGAGGTAATTCGCGTTCGCAATTGTGGGAAAATTACAAAATGACTCGCGAGTGATAGTGCGAGTGATTTCCATCAGTTCCGTCACAACGAAAATATCCATCCTCAATTAACTTATTACGTAATTATGTCGTTGTTTATATTTAGCGAGGGGCTCGACGCGGTATTTATAGTCTATCGCGAAACGAGACCTGCAAAATTGCAATAGTAATATTTTTTTCATTTTTTACGATAGGAAAAGTGTCGTCTAAAGCGGTCGTGAAAAATTTGGATTCTTCCTGATTTCAGAGACACCGCTAACCTTGGCGACGACCTTAAAAAAGCCGTCCAAGGTAATAATTGCATTGGTCAATGGCGGCGCTCTGCTGGATTATCGAACGAAGGAGGGTTTAACCGCGATGCACCGCGCTGTCGAACGGAACAGTTTGGAAGCGGTGAAGACACTTTTGGAGCTGGGTGCTAGTCCAAATTACAAGGATACCAAGGGCTTGACGCCGCTCTACTACAGCGTCATTTACAAGACCGACCCGATGCTTTGCGAGACGTTGCTTCACGATCACGCGACGATAGGAGCTCAAGATCTCCAAGGCTGGCAGGAAGTCCATCAGGTTTTGCTCATTTTGTCATTTTTCTAGAACTTCTTTATCGAACAGCAAACAGTGATTTATTAAGATATCAAAGAATCGATAGACTACAGAAAAATCGTCGTTTCTCACGAACATTGTCATGTGCGAATCGACGATTCTGATAAGATCTGATAGCATTTCTTATCTCCTTAATAATATCCCATTAATGACGTTTCAACATTGGGTTCTTTGATAATCTTTTATCGATAATTTTATTAATCGAAATACTTTTTAGCGCTAATCGATATTTCTTTATAAAGTTAATTTCCCGCAAGACAAGACTTTACCCGTCACGCGCGTCTTCCTTCATTCATGAATCCTTGCGAAGGGGAAAAAGAAAAAAAAAAAAGAATCACGCGGATCGGAAATGCACCGGTTGTTAATGAAGAATACGGCTCGAATTCCATTGAACGATTTCCCCTCGCCTAATACGCGCCTACTACGCCGTGTGCCCGCAGGCATGTCGCAACAATCTGGTGCAGCATCTGGACCACCTGCTCTTCTACGGCGCTGACATGAACGCGCGCAACGCGTCCGGTAACACGCCGTTGCACGTGTGCGCGGTGAATAACACGGACGCCTCGTGCATACGTCAGCTACTCTTCAGGGGCGCGCAGAAGGACGCGCTGAATTACGCGAACCAAACGCCGTACCAAGTCGCGGTGATCGCAGGCAACATGGAGCTCGCCGAGGTCATCAAGAATTATCAGTCGGAGGAAGTCGGTGAGTTATGAACGTCGCACGAGATGTCAAAAAATCGGAGTTCTTTCGCGACCAGGAAGAGAGGGAAACGCGAGGGGGGGGCGCGGGGATACGCGGGGGCGCGAATATCTGGGGGCAGGAAACTCGCTTGGAGAGGTCGAGGCATGATGTTGCAAGAATAAACGACAGACGTTGACGATCATCTACCTCTCCTGCCCTCGCTCTTCTCGCGTTCTTTGCTTCTCTCTCTCTCTCTCTCTCTCTCTCTTCTCTCTTTCTCTTGAATATTGTTCTGTCGTTCTCGGCGGCTCGAGTAACGATGATAAGCCGAGCGGTGATCGTCCTTCCGGGATCACGAATGGGACGAACGGGCTTGGAAGACGGATAACCGTAATCTCGTTACCTGGCAGGATTTTTTCACAAGTCAACCGCCACACCCGCGAAAATCATCGGCTGTCTGATTCTAATCCTCTCCTCGCGTACATTTGTTAGATAAGTTAAAGCCGGCGCCGAGCATCGGCCGATTCGGTGGCGAACGCGACGAGTTTTCGGGGGCTCTTTCTGATCTAATTTTCGATATAATTTCCGATCGGCGCGATAACAAATGGAAATAACTTGTCGGCGCCTTTAAAATAGTGGTTGGTTATCGCGTAATCGCCTTATGCGACTTACCGTCGCGTATTTCGAGATCGATTATCCGCACTATCTACGATTTGTTTGCTGAAACAAAGTCGCGCATGGCCGCGATCAGACGATCCGATAAAGTAAAGACGCGTTATCTGATAAGAAACGAGATCGCGGCCTACAAACCACGTACGCTTTCGTATGGCATGATTATAGTCGAGCATGGCATGGGCATGTGCACACGCTGCTTTTCCCGTAATATAGAGGTAGGCGTCAGTAGGTATTGCTTCTCTCGTTCGTGGTCACTTAGAGGGTGCTTCTGGAATTTGTGTATTACACGCGAGGGCGTGTGCCGTGTGCGTGACGTACGTATGCCAATGTATCTCTATTTACCTGTGTCTGTGCTGTGTGTGACGAGTAACAGTAAAGATTTACCAATCATTTGTCATTTGGGACTTTTGGTGGTGATGGTCGTGTATGACGTCGAGTACAGTTTGTGATAACCGCGGAGAAGTAACCGACACTATACCTCTTGATAGATTGCTTTCCAGTAACTAATGGTACTGTATTTTTGGTTCACTGTCGAATGGACTCAGTGCTGCCGGATCGAACGAGATCGCGACGAACGTCAAATTTTAAACGAATAACTTTCGTTCGGTGATATTTGATTACTAAAAATGAAACGTGTCAGATATATGAATTATATAAAATATCCCGTTGTAATTAAAAAACACTTTATCATTATATTTGTTTTCGATTTATATTAGATTTTATTAAAACTTTTTTTTTTTTTAATGACTATTCGCTTCTGCTGATAAATACATGAGTATACGTTTACGCTATATTGACGCGTTTGGTTGTAACATATCTTTTCTTTCTGGCAGCATTGAATTTGCAAGAATGTCTTGACTAGTAATGTTTGGTAGTTCGAGGTACGTTGTGAATCGACGTGGCCCGGCGGGTCGTCGGAGTCTCCGGAGCCTGGAAGGAACAACCAGAAGAAGCGCATTCCGACGACCCGGCGACGGCGATGTCGATCGTTTGTGCACATGACGTATTCCGACGAGAGTTACCCGTAATCTCGAGCACATTGTATCGCACAAAACGGATACAACAGAACGGGGATGGAGTCGTTATCCTTGCGTGTGCTTTCTATCGCTTTTCCGTCTGTACATGGTGTCGCGGAATTGATGAAAAGTGGATACATTAGTATCTTTCGAATCAAGTTTTTTTTTTTTCTCGAGTTTCAACACGTACGATGTTTTACTTTGTAATCTTTAAATAAAAATTATCTTCATGTTTTGTAATATTTTTTATATAATATTACGACAATATACGAAGTGTTTCGTCGAGATCAATTACTCGGCAGATGAATGGGGATTCGAAAACGAAAAAGAAAGTTGATATGAGCAAGTTATTATTTTTCGAGTTATCATTTTTATATTGAAATTTGAAATTGCTTTGCTTTCGCATTTCTTTTTTTGTCAAAAATTGAAAGAAGAGATGGTCTTTACGAGTTTTATAATATAATTAAAGTCAAATAAAAGCAGCCCGTGCTTTTATTTAACTTTATGTTATAAAACTCGTAAAGACTATCTTCTTTCAATTTTGACCAAAAAAATTCGAAAGCAAAGCGATTTGAAATTTCAACACAAAATGATGATAACAATACATTTCTGGATTCATCATCTCCACTCCGAACGGTTGATCTCCACTTTTGAAACACCTTTATATATTTCTGTCTTTATAAAGTTAAATACAAGATAACCGTTTCAGTAGCTTATACTTTGAAAATTATTAATACCCGTGTTAATTAATGTTGATTATCAGATCTCACGCGCGAGTGTAGTAACGCCGTATATCCACTCTTCTCTCATCGGTTTCCGAGACACCTTGTATGTGTCGGCACTAAAATGATGAGAGCAATATCTGGTTGTCCGGGGTTACCCGGGGAGAGCCAATAACCATCATCGTCGCCATCACGAAATAACATTGTGCGTGCGCGCGTGTATGCGTGCGTGCTTGTGTGTGCGACACGGCGACCGCTTGTAAAATCGCTTTGCAAAAATCCCGCGTGGCGATCTTCCGTGCCGGAACGCCGCGGAAGATCGATCGTGGAGGACGGGGCCCTCGGCCTCCCGCGCATAACTCTTCGTTTTAACAAACGTAATGTGCGATGTAAATCACGCGACTAACACTCGCGCGTCGATTAAACGCGAACAACGGCGGCGTATAAATGCCATGCGCGATACTTAACACCGCGCGCCGGTTAAGTGATTTGTTCGATATCTGTTTTAGTCACGAAACACTGTCCTCGTCGTGTATTACGCGGCTCTTTATACATCTATATTTAATCCTTTCAACCCTAGACAGTACAACCGGCATCTGATATTCGTTATTTATAATTTCGAAATTTCTAAATCGGCACGAAGACAATTTAATTAACAAATTGGCTAAAAAATATCTATAAAAAATGTAATAAAATGAAATGAAATTTAATTCGCATTTTATGTATCAAGTGTATTTTCTTTATCGAAATGGACAAGTTTTACGCTGTTTAGGGTTTATTCCTAGCTCTCGCACTCTTATCGAACGATCGTAATCTAGGTGCAACATTAATCGCTTGACACGATCTCACATTTCTCGCCCCTGAAGACGCTCGCGTCGACGCTCGTCCGAAGAAGACGGCAGAATACATCGCACGCGATCGAGATGCGGCTAGTCTCTTGTAAGGCTAAGTAATCCTTTCTTTACTTAACCTTGCAACCCTTGCGATTTTCCAGTACCGTTTAAAGGGCCGCCACGCTACAACCCGAAGCGACGCTCGGTGGCCTTCAGCGGCGTCTCCTCGATGATGACGACGAGTTGCTCGGCGAGCAATCTGGGCACCCTCACCAGGATACCGTCCACCGAACAGCACGCGGTGGCGTCTAACGCCGGTGGTGGCGGTGCCACTGGTACCCTCACCAGAACCATCTCGGTGGAACAGTACTCGAGTATCACGCGAGTACCATCTGCCGAGCAGTATGCCACCACCGCCGCGGCGACCGTGAGTCTGAACCGAGTACCGTCCACGGAACAACCGTACCCACCACCTCCGTCGTCCGGCACGCTCGTCCGAGTCTCGTCCGAGGAGAAATACGCGCCGCCTGGAGCTGTGCTGAGCAGAGCCTCGTCCGGCGAGCGTTACGACATCACCCTGACCAGAGTACCGTCCTCCGAGCAGTACCCGACCGCAAATACGCTGATCAGAGTACCGTCCACGGAGCAATACCCAACCGCCGCAGTGGGCCTGACCAGAGTACCGTCCACAGATCAGTATCCCTCCACCGGTGGTGGGATCGCGATCGTCGGTCAGATGACCGAGTCGAGCCACCACGGAAGCCTCGGCAGAGTACCGTCCGTAGAGTCGAGCAGAAACGATTTACCGAGAATACCGTCCGAACAAAACGGCCACCGACTGACGTCGGAGTACCAGAGTCCGAATTCCTTGAGAGATCCTAACGCGAGGTAAGCATAGACGCGAAACCGCCACGCGCGAGCGCCACCGATCGCTGGAGCAAGCGCGACACAAAGTCGCGTATGGTTGAAGCGAGAGCGGACAGACGTGGGAGGGAGGAAAAGAGTCTTCTCCTCTCTCGGGAAGACTCATCAGAATTCGACAAAGATAATTCTCGCTTCCGTCGTCACTCGCAAGCAGCGACATTCGTTCGGTACGCTCGCGCGATCACTGACGCTTCATCCCCCGACCAGGATCACGGGTCTGCGTGTGGCTGACTAAGTGAAGAAAAAAAAAAAAAAGAATATGTCGCGCCGCACGCGGATCTCAGTTTTGGTCGGCGCAAAGCGCGGTCGATCGCCGGTGTACCCTAAGAGTTGTACGCACCATTTCAAGATTGCCAAGCGCCGCGGAGAATTATTCAAACTTGAGAATGGAGGGCCTGACGAGGCTGCAAGAGCATCGGCTCGAGCTGCAGCATCGCCTCGATATGCATAGAACGCAGATGGAGATGCCGCCGTCGCCGTCGCCGAGCAGCAGGAGTTTAGCGCCTTTCAGCTCGGCCAGCTCGAGCTTGTCCGAAGGCAGCAATCAGCCATCCGGCGAAGACTCGGCCAGCATCGTCACAGGTACACTATTCTTTTCTCATTCTATCCCCCCTCAACTCCCCCCCCCCCTCTGTGCCCGCCCCACGATGGTGAGGGGACCAGAATCAAAAGAAGTCTGCTCCTCGATGATCCACGAACGAGCAACGTTTCTGCGGAAACATGAACGCCGTGTTCGGAAAAACCCCGGAGAGATCCCACGAGAGAGCCAACTGCCAAAGATATATGAGGAAGCGGACGGTCGTTTATCGTTTTGTTGACAATACAATCGCGCATAAAGTGACGGCAATTTACCATCATCATGTTGTATGTACCATCACCACCAAAAACCGGCGGCGCGCGAAGGTGGTCAGGCGACACGATGAGAGAGTTAATCGGACGATGGCTTTGATGGTTCGTGCATGCTTCCGTTTTTGGTGTCCCCGAGGATATTAGAGATCCCGTGTTGGTGACTCGTCCTTGCCAATCCAGCGAGCGAGCTGAGCGAGGCCTCGCTCGTGGAGAGAGAGCATAAGTTGCGCTTACTTTCATTAGCGGCCGCCTTTTAGGATGCGACGAATGTGACGCGGCTGGCGATTTCTAGAGCTCCTTTTGCCGTCGTTTAGAGCACAGTTTATAGACGAACCGAATTGATTTGGTTTTTTTTCTGAGTTCGAGAGGTGCGCTGAAGTTTTGATTTAGCGTTAAGATTTAGCCGTTTCTTTCTTTCTCTCTTTCTCTTTCTTTCTTTCTCTGTTTTTCTTAAGGGTTTCGATTTCTTGCATGGCGTTTATCGTTCGGTAAGGCGATGCGGGATGGTGAACATGAGGCATCACGCTGAGTATATCCGATCGTTGTCGATTTCTAGACAAGAGCCTCGGCGACACGGCGTCCGATGTGATCAGCGACAGTTCCGGGGTGGGAACCTCGCAATCGGACACGACCAATTCATTATCCATTCCCGGCACAACGGTGGTCTGCGTGGAGAGCTACAACAGTGGGATCACTGGCCATCTGACTATCAATCAAGGAGACATCCTCGAAGGTACACCATCAGGCAATCCCAGCAAAACGTACTCCTTTCTCTCTCTCTCTC